ATCTTATCCTGGGCATTCACTGATCTCCCACAGCTCTCCTTCCTGACATGAAGGTCTCAGGGGGCTTCACAACCCTTATCCTGGAAGTACTCAGAGCTGTAAACGTCTTGGTTCATCATATGATGGGCATTCACTGATCTTCCAAGGCTGTCCATCCGGATACCTGCCATGAAGGTCCAAGGCACTCAAGGAGTTTCGCAACTCTGTACCTGGAAATGCTCAAAGGGAGCTGCTTGGTTCACACTACTCTGGGTGTTTTCTGATCTCCCACTGCTCTCCATCCTGACACCAACCATGAAGGTCCCAGGCACCCAGGTGGTTTACCAACTCTGAACCTGGAAGTGCTCAGAGACACGTGCTTCTCGGTTGATCCTACACCAGGCATTCACGGATCTCCTACAGCTGTCCATCCAGACATCTACCAAAAAGGTCTCAGGCACTCAAGGGGTTTCACAGCTCTGATCCTGGAAGTGCTCAGAGCTATAAACTTCTGGGTCCAGCCTACCCTGGGCATTCACTGATCTTCCACCGCTCTCCATCCCAACACCAGCCATGAAAGTCAAAAGGCACCCAAGTTGTTTAACAACTCTGAATCTGGAAGAGTTCAAAGTTGTGGTGCTTCTGGGTTCATCCTACCCTAGATGTTTGCTCTCCATCCAGACAGCTGGCATGAAGGTTCCAGGCATCCAGGAGGTTTACCTCCTCTAAACCTGGAAGTGTTCAGAGCTGCGCACTTCCGCGTTCATCCTGCCCCAGGTGTTTGCCGATTTCCCACCGCTCTCCATGCAGCTACCTGCCAGGTCTAATGCAGGCCATACATGGGGCAAATTCTAAACCAAGAATTTTTGTTCAAATTTTGCACCATTAGTGGACCACAGCACTGGATGATTTTGTTGCGACCATTGAATTTGTGCGATCAAGCAGGTTGGAAATTTTTTGAGAAAACAAACTAATTTCTAATCAAATGATGGGAAAATCTAAATCGAAAAAGAAATGAGCTGTGACCTGGAAAGAAGATTCCCGGCCACGAAAATTCTTTTCGGAGGTGAAATTAAAGGCTTGGTCGTTCGAATTCAATGGTGGCACCATCGGATTACAAAACGCACAAGATTTATGATTTTCTAAATAAAATTCATTCAGAAAATCGGCCCATGTATGGCCTACATAGGGCACCCAGGAAAGACAGGCGAGCCTGGGAAACCTTTGCTGCTATGAGTGTTGGTACTTCTCAGCGCGGTCACAACACTTCCATTGGTGGCAGTGAAGAGGTTGTGGAAGATGGAGCTTCCTCCAAGGCACACCTACTCATATGGCCCCGGATAGGAGCTCCCAGAATGCCGTTAGGGCCCACGCTTCACACAAGTCCTGGTGTGGCAGTGAGGCAAGCATGTACCTGCAATAAACACCTCTGTTAATGCAAAATGCTGAAACTATTTGTTTTTGTGCTGCCCAGCCAATAGGTGCGCTGGAAGTCTGTGTAAGATGAGGGGTCCTAGGCGGACTTTACTGCATCTCAACTTCACTTCTCTGCCAGATCTTTCGGCAATGGGAATTTATAAAAATCTGCGCACTTTACCTTTGAAAATCTCCTTTTCCAGACGAGCCTCTTTTTTCTCTTCTCGCCTCCGAACGAATTTATCTAAACACTTCCGATCGAACCTGCAAAGCAGATGACATTCATTACACCCGGAATCTGGTCTTCCGTCACCAACACTCGATGAGAACGCATTGCGACAAATGGAAGACCTTTCCAGACTATGTATAGAGTTCCTGTGTATGCCAGTCACCAGATATACAATATTGCCCCAAGTATTGTCCCCGCCCTCCCCCCTCCCATATATACACTCTATAACCCCAAGTATTGGGCCGCTGGCCTTCCCACGCACGACTTCTAATGGCCCCCCAGTCTTAGTCCGTAGGGTTCAATATTGAGTTGGCCCCGCCCTTTCCACGCACATGACCTTTCACGGTCCCCCAGTCTTAGTCCGTAGGGTCCAATATTGAGTTGGCCCCGCCCTTTCCACGCACATGACCTTTCACGGTCCCCCAGTCTTAGTCCGTAGGGTCCAATATTGAGTTGGCCCCGCCCTTTCCACGCACATGACCTTTCACGGTCCCCCAGTCTTAGTCCGTAGGGTCCAATATTGAGTTGGCCCCGCCCTTTCCACACACATGAACTTTAATGGCCCCCCAGTCTTAGTCCGTAGGGTTCAATATTGAGTTGGCCCCGCCCTTTGCAGCTATAACAGCTTCAACTCTTCTGGGAAGGCCGTCCACAAGGTTTAGGAGGGTGTCTATGGGAAGGTTGGACCGTTCTTCCAGAAGCACATTTGTCAGGTCAGGCACTGATGTCGGGGGAGGAGGCCTGGCTCGCAGTCTCCGCTCTAATTCATCCCAAAGGTGTTCTATGGGGTTGAGGTCAGGACTCTGTGCAGGACAGTCAAGTTCCTCCACCCCAAACTGGCTCCTCCATGTCTTTATGGACCTTGCTTTGTGCACTGGGGGGGCAGTCATGTTGGAACAGGAAGGGGCCATCCCCAAACTCCTCCCACACAGTTGGGGGCATGAAATTGTCCAAAATGTTGCCTTAAGAGTTCCCTTCACTGGAACTAGGGGGCTAAGCCCAACCCGAGAAAACAACCCCACACCATAATCCCCCCTCCACCAAACTTTACACTTGGCACAATGCAGTCAGGCAAGTACCGTTCTCCTGGCCACCGCCAAACCCAGACATGTCCATCGGATTGCCAGACAGAGAAGCGCGATTGGTCCCTCCAGAAAACACGTCTCCACTGCTCTAGAGTCCAGTGGCGGCGTGCTTTACACCACGGCATCCGACGCTTTGCATTGCACTTGGTGATGGAAGGCTTGGATGCAGCTGCTCGGCCATGGAAACCCATTCCATGAAGCTCTCTACGCACTGTTGTTGGGCTCATCTGAAGGCCACACCAAGTTTGGAGGTCTTTAGCTATTGACTCTGCAGACAGTTGGTGACTTCTGCGCACTGTGCGCTTCAGCATGCGCTGACCCCGCCCTGTCATGTGACGTGGCCTACCACTTGGTGGCTGAGTGGCTGTTGTTCCCAGTTGCTTCCACTTTGTTATAATCCCACTAACAGCTGAGCGTGGAATATTTAGTAGCCAGGAAATGTCACGGATGGACTTATTGCCCAGGTGGCCACCTATCACGGGACCACGCTTGGAGTCACTGAGCTCCTGAGAGCGACCCATTCTTTCACCAATGTTTGTAGAAGCCGTCTGCATGCCTAGGGGCTTGATTGTATACACCTGTGTCCATGGAGGGGATTGGAACACCTGAATCACATGATATGGAGGGGATGGGAACACCTGAATCACATGATATGGAGGGGATGGGAACACCTGAATCACATGATATGGAGGGGATGGGAACACCTGAATCACATGATATGGAGGGGATTGGAACACCCGAATCACATGATATGGAGGGGATTGGAACACCCGAATCACATGATATGGAGGGGATTGGAACACCAGAATCACATGATATGGAGGGGATTGGAACACCCGAATCACATGATATGGAGGGGATTGGAACACCCGAATCACATGATATGGAGGGGATTGGAACACCCGAATCACATGATTTGGGGGGTGGGGACAATACTTTAATATATTGTGCATCAAAGTATAGATCAGATGCTTAAAGTGGAACGTCGCTCTCTCAAACAACAGACTATTTGTAATCCTTCTGCTGCCAACATTAGTAAATAGAAAAGTATCATATTTACTTGATTTAAAAACTTTTTTTGTTTTTGTCTCTTCAGTTATTTCCTGGTTTCCATGCCTAGGCTGATGAGGTCATACATCCAAAAAGTCTTTAGGAGTGGAGGGAGGGTTCCAGCTCAGCCAATGCCTGAGCTAAGGGCAGATGGATTTCAGGTGGTAAAAGTAAATGCTACATGAATCATCTGCCCCTACTCAAGATGGCCACGAACAGAAATGCTACGGGGGTGCTATTTAAAATGATTTCTCGGGAAAATAAAACATGGAGATATGGATATATGGGGGGGGGGGTGTTTGCTTTGAATATTAACAATGCAAAGCACTGCACTTACAGAGTAGCACACGGACACAGCACACAGTTAACCCTTTGATCGCCCCTCATGTTAACCCCTTCCTACCCAGTGCCATTAGTACAATGTCAGTCTGTCTTTTTTTTTCTATCACTGAATTGGTGTCACTGGGGATGTCAGTGACACCAAGTCAGTCCCCCCCCCAGTGTCAGAATTCCCGCCGCAGTCCCGCTAAAAGTCGCTGATCGCCGCCATTACCAGTAAAAATAGAATTGAATAAAAAAAAAAAAATTCCAGTATCTATCCCGCCATTTGTAAACGCTAGAACTTTCACGTAAACCAATTAATTTACATGTATTGGGATTTCTTTCTGCCGAAAACACGGAGCAGAATACATTTTGGCCAAAATTTATGACGAAATTTGATTTTTAAAAATTTTTTTCTGGACATGTTTTATAGCAAAAAGTCAAAAATATTGTTTTTTTTTTTTCTCAAAATGGTTTATAGCGCAAAAAGTAAAAATTAAAAAAAAAACAAAAAAAAAAAAAAAAACGCACAGATCAAATACCACCAAAAGAACGCTCTATTTGTGAGAAAAAAGGACGCAAATTTCATTTGGGTGCAGAGTTGCAAAACCGCGCAATTATCACAAAAAATGGCCCGGACAGGAAGGAAGGGGAATCCTCTGGAGGGGGAGGGGTTAACCTCCCGAAACATAAGCAGTATGAGGGCTTTTCTTTCCACTTTCTGGCAACCACCTCAAACTGAACAGGAGGTTGGAGAGGACAACAAAGCAGGGTTCTTATTGGCTGACGTACTTCTTCCTCTTCTCAGACTTCTGCTTCTTGGTGACCTCCACCTCCTCCTCCTTCTTGGGAAGCTCTCCCTTCTCATCCAGATCCATCTCAGGCCGGCGCTCCAGCTGGTTCTTGGTGAGGAAGAGGACATGTTGGGTCTCCCGATTCATGCGGCTCAGGAAGGCGCCGACCGATTCGTTTCTCTCCCGCTTGAACTTCGGCACCGGAATGTCCGTCTGCAACCCCTCACTGTGCCGCCCTCGTGTCTGCACTTGAAAGGAGAGAAAAGGGTCAGCCGGAAAGAAACCGATTTCCATACCGGGGGGGGGGGGTGCGGGGGGGTGAAACCCCCAAGGTGACCGAAACGCCAGCTGCACCTCTACAGACCGGAATAGGAAGATCTTCCCCACATCCACCCATTCTGATCAGCAGAGGCTCAGGGCGGGATTCCATCAGTCTGGGGGTTACAGATCGACAAACATCATGAACTTATGGAGCTAATACCATCCAATCAGACTTCCATCTCTGTAGGTCAAATTTAACCCCTTGGTGCCGACCAATCCTGAGGGGGGGGATCCTCTGGAGAGCGAGCGGTTAAACCTTCGTTTTGTTTTTTAATTAACCCCTTGGCACCGGCCCTTTAAGGGTTTCAGAAGCCGGGAGGCGGGGTTTTAGGGTCATGTGACCGCCGTGATTCGCCGTCACGTCAGTCACATGATCGGGACCTTTCCGCGAGTACCGGACATGCGTGCTGGGAGCGGGCAGGAGGCCGCACATTTGCATGGGGCCGGCATGAAGAGGTTAAATAGCAAACGTTTGTATACTTACCTGCTCTGTGCAACACTTTGGCACAGAGCAGCCCTGATCCTCCGCTTCTCCTAGCCCCTCCTCTTCGGTGGGTGCCCCCACGAAAAGCCGAGCCGCCTGCTGTGGTGTCGCTGGCTCAGCCCCGCCCCCCGTGTCACAACATTAGATTGACAGCAGCGGCAGCCAATGGCAGGGAGAGACACGGTGGGGTCAGAGACGCTGCACATGGCTGGATCAGATTGGGCTCAGGTAAGAATTGGGGGCGGGGTGCAGCACAGAAATGCATGAAGGTGAAAAACATTAAAGTAGAACTTTTTTTTTCCCCATTTTGGACAGAGTGGGGGGGGGTTATAACCCCGCTCAGATTTCTTTTTGCCACCTGCGTCCTCTTGGCGAGATTTCCCTTCATTTCCTGTCCCGTAGCCAAACAGGAAGTGCGGGAAAATCCCTTCAAATTAACGGAATCCCTTGGGGACCAACCAGGTCACCAGAACGAGTGTCCCCATTGGAAGATTTACCTTCTATTACTTTTCTGGGGACAACCCAAAATTTGGGGGGTTTTTTACGTTCGATGATAACGGTAAACAGGACGAATAGCTGCTTGCAGAGCGGCCTCAGTCACCGGAATGGGTTGCACTCGGCAGGCACTACGCCCCCCAACAGCGACGGGATAGAATTCCTGTGTACACCCCCTGCCTGCTGCCTCTAAAGGGGGAGCAATTAGGGTCACCTCTCCTGAACCCCTAGTGTGAATGAGCCCCTAAAGTGTTGCTGAACCTAAAAAGGTCGTACATTGCAGCTTACCAATCAAATGTGATGGCTGCATTAGTTTTCTTTTTTAGGAATTTTTCCCCGTTTTCTCCTGGTGATCTAGCCAGTAACACTCCTGTATTACAGCGCATCCACTCTGGAGGAAGGAGCACAGGAGCCACGGCAGCAGCGTTGTCCGTTTGGGGGGGAGGGGAGTGTTAAATGGACTAGCAGATTTAGATACACTAACACATTGAAGCCGAACTCCGGCTCACACTTCATAATCCGTTACAGTTTTTGTTCCTTTCGGGATGAAGGTTTTCCTTCAATAAATAAAAGCTGATCATTGTAAGCGCCCCTGTCAGTGGGAGATGGTTTGTCTCAACCCCCTAACTGCTACATCTGCAGGACAGCTTGTTCTGTGACAAAACAGACCTACTGGCCGGATCACCTGGTGAAAATAAAGGAAAAACCCAAAAAAGAAAACTAATGCAGCCGTCACATCTAAAAACTGCAATGTAAGAAATGTCTGCTTTGGGTTTATTACGGCTGTCAGTTGTTCTTGTAAAACACACGACACAGACATGACACATACACACACAGACAGACAGACGACACAGACATGACACACACACGTCACACACATGACATACGACACAACACAATCACGACACAGACATGACATACAACACAACACAATCACAACACAGACATGACACATACACACACACAGACAGACGACACAGACATGACACACACACGTCACACACATGACATACGACACAACACAATCACAACACAGACATGACACACACACGTCACACACATGACATAGGACACAACACAATCACAACACAGACATGACACACACAGGACACACACGACACAGACATGACACATACACACACACACAGACAGACGACACAGACATGACACATACGTCACACACATGACATACATACGACACAACACAATCACAACACAGACATGACACACACACAGGACACACGACACAGACATGACACATACACACAGGACACGACACATGACACACACACAGGACACGACACAGACATGACACACACACGTCACGACACAGACATGACACACACACGTCACGACACACAGGACACACGACACAGACATGACACATACACACACACACACAGACAGACGACACAGACATGACACACACACGTCACACACATGACATACGACACAACACAATCACAACACAGACATGACACACACACAGGACACACACACACAGGACACGACACAGACACCACTCGTCCGGCAGACCTGGCCGCCTCCTTTTCTTCGGTTTGTCCATTTCCATCCGACTCTTCATGATTTCTCGCAGCTTGAACGGGATTTCCTGGGTGTCCGGGTCCTTCGGGGTGGAATTTGTCTTTTTCTTCATATTCCTACAAGAAGAGAAACAGAGATCCGTGACAACCGTGTTCCGGAACTCCAGGAGGGGAATGCCGGTCAGGAGAGAATCATTCATCCCGACATCCGACCCGCCATCCCCACACTGGGAGGAAAGGGTTAACACCCGTCTGTCTGTCGGGGAGATTCTTCTGCCATTCTTGTCCCAGACAACAGGAAATGAGGCAGAAAATCCCCTCCGTGGTCACTGGAATTTGTGTCTGGAATTGGCCTTTAAAATGTAACTGTCGCCTCTGCACCCTCCATGCATCCTGTGTTGTTCCCGCACCCTCCATGCATCTTGCGTGGCCCCTGCACCCTCCATGCACTGTGTCCCCCCCCCGGACCCTGTGTTGCCCCCGCACCCTCCATGCACCATGTCCCCCGCCCCCTGCATTGCCCCCGCACCCTCCATGCACCATGTCTCCCCCCCCTGCACCCTGTGTAGCCCCCGCACCCTCCATGCACGTCTCCCCCCCCTGCACCCTGTGTGGCCCCCGCACCCTCCATGCACCATGTCTCCCCCCCCCTGCACCCTGTGTGGCCCCCGCACCCTCCATGCACCATGTCTCCCCCCCCCCCCCTGCACCCTGTGTGGCCCCCGCACCCTCCATGCACCATGTCTCCCCCCCCTGCACCCTGTGTGGCCCCCGCACCCTCCATGCACCATGTCTCCCCCCCCCCTGCACCCTCCATGCACCATGTCTCCCCCCCCCCCTGCACCCTGTGTGGCCCCCGCACCCTCCATGCACCATGTCTCCCCCCCCCTGCACCCTGTGTGGTCCCCGCACCCTCCATGCACCATTTCTCCCCCCCCTGCACCCTGTGTGGTCCCCGCACCCTCCATGCACCATGTTACCTCCCCCCCCTGCACCCTGTGTGGTCCCTGCACCCTGTGTGGTCCCCGCACCCTCCATGCACCATGTCTCCCCCCCCCCTGCACCCTGTGTGGCCCCCGCACCCTCCATGCACCATGTCTCCCCCCCCCCCCCCCCCTGCAACCACCCTGTGTGGCCCCTGCACCATGTCTCCCCCCCTGCACCCTGTGTGGCCCCTGCACCCTCCATGCACCATGTCTCCCCCCCCTGCACCCTGTGTGGCCCCTGCACCCTCCATGTCTCCCCCCCCTGCACCCTGTGTGGCCCCTGCACCCTCCATGTCTCCCCCCCCCTGCACCCTGTGTGGCCCCTGCACCATGTCTCCCCCCCCCCTGCACCCTGTGTGGCCCCCGCACCCTCCATGCACCATGTCCCCCGCCCCCTGCATTGCCCCCGCACCCTCCATGCACCATGTCTCCCCCCCCTGCACCCTGTGTAGCCCCCGCACCCTCCATGCACGTCTCCCCCCCCTGCACCCTGTGTGGCCCCCGCACCCTCCATGCACCATGTCTCCCCCCCCCTGCACCCTGTGTGGCCCCCGCACCCTCCATGCACCATGTCTCCCCCCCCCCTGCACCCTGTGTGGCCCCCGCACCCTCCATGCACCATGTCTCCCCCCCCTGCACCCTGTGTGGCCCCCGCACCCTCCATGCACCATGTCTCCCCCCCCTGCACACCCTCCATGCACCATGTCTCCCCCCCCCCCCTGCACCCTGTGTGGCCCCCGCACCCTCCATGCACCATGTCTCCCCCCCCCTGCACCCTGTGTGGTCCCCGCACCCTCCATGCACCATTTCTCCCCCCCCCCTGCACCCTGTGTGGTCCCCGCACCCTCCATGCACCATGTTACCTCCCCCCCCTGCACCCTGTGTGGTCCCTGCACCCTGTGTGGTCCCCGCACCCTCCATGCACCATGTCTCCCCCCCCCCCTGCACCCTGTGTGGCCCCCGCACCCTCCATGCACCATGTCTCCCCCCCCCCCCTGCACCCTGTGTGGCCCCTGCACCATGTCTCCCCCCCTGCACCCTGTGTGGCCCCTGCACCCTCCATGCACCATGTCTCCCCCCCCTGCACCCTGTGTGGCCCCTGCACCCTCCATGTCTCCCCCCCCTGCACCCTGTGTGGCCCCTGCACCCTCCATGTCTCCCCCCCCCCTGCACCCTGTGTGGCCCCTGCACCATGTCTCCCCCCCCCCCTGCACCCTGTGTGGCCCCTGCAATCTCCATGCACCCTGGTCCCTGCATGCACCCTCCATGCACTGTGTCCCCCTCCCCGGACCTTGTGTTGCCCCTGCACCCTCCATGCACCATGTCCCCCCCTTGCACCGTGTGGCCCCTGCAATCTCCATGCACCCTGGTAACCCCCCCGCGTCCTGCTTGCACCCTCCATTCACCGAGTGTCACCCCTGCACTCTCCATGCACCGTGTCCCCTTGCCCCCTCCATGCACCCAGTATCGTCCATGCACCGATACACCCCCGGGTGCTGCAATCCGGACAGCGTACCAAGAGAAGCCTCATTCCCCCTCCCGTGTCTTCCATATATAACACCCACCCGCGGGGGACGCCCCGCACCGGCCCTGACAGCCGATCCAGCCGCTTTATCTCCCGGCTTCTTCCCCATCGCAGCCCGGGTGCGCTCCGTACACAACACGTGAGATTACACCACACACTTCCGGCCCCTTCATTACACGTCATCGTGAAACCGCCCTATGGGATTATCGGACACGCCACCGTACGTCACACGTGAGCCGCCGCCATCTTTGCCACTGGCAATCCCCGGGAGAAGCCCAGAGTGACGTCATATCCGCCTGGCAATGTCAAAGAAGAAGAGGGGACGCAGGGGGTGTGCCCTCTGGGGCAGCAGAGCTGTTGCTATGGTAATGCTGTTGGGACTCAGAGGCAGCTGTGTGCAGAGCTGTATATATATATATATTATATGGTCGGCTGGAAGTGCTGCAGCGTCATGGTTGGGCGGGGGTGATGTACCCCGGACTCCTTACCTGGGAAGTTTGGGAAATCAGCGATCCCATGGATGGGGGGAGGGGCGCTATAGTGACTGGAAGGTGTAAACTTGTGCTAGTAGTGGGAGGGGCTTAAAACTTGAGTGCCGGGGTCAGGAGTATGTAATGTACAGAGTGGGGGGGGGGGTCAGGAGTATGTAATGTACAGAGTACAGGGGTCAGGAGTGTGTAATGTACAGAGTGCGGGGGCCAGGTGTATGTAATGTACAGAGTGCGGGGGTCAGGAGTGTGTAATGTACAGAGTGGGGGGGGCAGGAGTGTGTAATGTACAGAGTATGGGGGCCAGGTGTGTGTAATGTACAGAGTGGGGGGGTCAGGAGCATGTAATGTACAGAGTATGGGGGCCAGGTGTGTGTAATGTACAGAGTACAGGGGTCAGGTGTGTGTAATGTACAGAGTGCGGGGGCCAGGTGTATGTAATGTACAGAGTGGGGGGGGGGGTCAGGTGTATGTAATGTACAGAGTACAGGAGTATGTAATGTACAGAGTGCGGGGGTCAGGTGTGTGTAATGTACAGAGTGCGGGGGTCAGGAGGGTGTAATGTACAGAGTGCGGGGGCCAGGTGTATGTAATGTACAGAGTGGGGGGGGGTCAGGTGTATGTAATGTACAGAGTACAGGAGTCAGGAGTATGTAATGTACAGAGTGGGGGGGGGGGCCAGGTGTGTGTAATGTACAGAGTGTGGGGGTCAGGTGTATGTAATGTACAGAGTGCGGGGGTCAGGAGTGTGTAATGTACATAGTGCGGGGGTCAGGAGCGTGTAATGTACAGAGTGCGGGGGTCAGGTGTGTGTAATGTACAGAGTGTAGGGGTCAGGTGTGTGTAATGTACAGAGTGCGGGGGTCAGGTGTGTGTAATGTACAGAGTGTAGGGGTCAGGAGTGTGTAATGTACAGAGTGTAGGGGTCAGGAGTGTGTAATGTACAGAGTGCGGGGGTCAGGTGTATGTAATGTACATAGTGCAGGGGCCCAGGGTGGGTCATGTACATATAATGGGGCCCGGGGTGGGTCATGTACATAGTGCAGGGGCCCGGGGTGGGTCATGTACATAGTGCAGGGGCCCGGGGTGGGTCATGTACATAGTGCAGGGGCCCGGGGTGGGTCATGTACATAGTGCAGGGGCCCGGGTTGGGTCATGTACATAGGGGTGGGCACATAGTACAGGGGCCCAGGGTGGGTCATGTACATAGTGCAGGGGCCCGGGGTGGGCACATAGTGCAGGGGCCCGGGGTGGGCACATAGTGCAGGGTCCCGGGGTGGGCACAAAGTGCAGGGGCCCGGGGTGGGCACATAGTGCAGGGTCCCGGGGTGGGCACAAAGTGCAGGGGCCCGGGGTGGGTCATGTACATAGTGCAGGGTCCCGGGGTGGGCACATAGTGCAGGGTCCCGGGGTGGGTACATAGTGCAGGGGCCCGGGGTGGGTCATGTACATAGTGCAGGGGCCCGGGGTGGGTCATGTACATAGTGCAGGGGCCCGGGGTGGGCACATAGTGCAGGGGCCCGGGGTGGGTCATGTACATAGTGCAGGGGCCCGGGGTGGGTCATGTACATAGTGCAGGGGCCCGGGGTGGGTACATAGTGCAGGGGCCCGGGATGGGTACATAGTGCAGGGGCCCGGGGTGGGTACATAGTGCAGGGGCCCGGGGTGGGTACATAGTGCAGGGGCCCGGGGTGGGTACATAGTGCAGGGGCCCGGGGTGGGCACATAGTGCAGGGATCACCTTTACTCTTTGCTCGTGTTGAATGTATTATTGTTCGCCTTTGTCTATATTGTGCACAGGGTTGGATGTTCTTTATGTATAAAGTTTTTTTGCCTCAACAATAAATATAGACATCCTTTAAAAATTGTTTTTTTCCCGCGGTGGAAAATGAAATTGTCCTGTAAATCTCTGTGCTGTCTTGCAGATCCTGAGCTCCCTTCTTAGACGGATCTCTCATTCCGTATCCGTCTCCTGCGGCAGGACGGCGATCTCCACCAGCCAATCCAATGGCGAGGACAGTTCCACGCGGAGCGCAGACTCTCCCGGCCTCGTGAGCGGCGATCTCCCACAAAATGGAGGCCCGGCCCCCGGAGGCTCTCAGAGTTCTTATGGGCCGCAGATCCCGCCTCCCCCCACCCACTGCTGTATGAGCGGCTGCCATAACTGCGTCTGGATCGCCTACGCGGAGGAGCTGCTGGAACTCTACAAAGATGGCGGCGAGAGAGCGCTGAGCACCTTGGAGGAGCACATCGAGGACGAGAACATTAAGATGTTCATCAGAATGGAAATACGGTTCAGGATGAAGAACCAAGCTTCGTAAACGCAGCGGCGTCATGGAAGCCCTCAGAAGAACGGGGGGCTGTGATTGGTCTACAGGCTTTAAAGCTGAACTCCGGGCGCCATCGTTTTAGGATGCGTAGAGCATAAAGATTGGCCTTTTGACAGTCCAGCTTCCATATGTACTGACGCCCCGCCCCCATCCCCACCGACACACGTTGCGTCTCCGTCCCCACGAATGCGTCCCTGCCCAGTGATGACGCTGCGGCCATGCTCTTTGCCTGTGGCCCTTACATGTGCATATCCCGGAGTTCGGCTCTAAAATGATCCTGAGACCCAGTTCACTCTGCATGCGACTTGAGACACGTGAAGGTTGAAAACGCATTTATTTCAGGTGCGGACGTTTTCCAATCGATGCTGCTCAAGTCGCAGCGACTTTTTAAAAAAAGGTTCCTGGGCTACTTTGATGTGACTTGAGTGCCTAGGCTCCTCAAGTTGCATGAAAGTCGCACTGAAAATGCGAACCGAGCCTGAAGCCAAGACTTTTCCTCCTTTGTGGATGAAGTTTGGAAAGTTAAATGTTATTTGTTAATAGTTAAAGCTGAACGTTTGTTATATTTTAGATGGACTGAGGAATGGTTTGAACCCCTGTCAGGCTTTTATTGTTTTATGCGTATCTGCAGGTGAGATTCATCTGAACGATTTTTCCTGCAAGACAGACGTCCAGAATTTGAATTGTTTGTCTGTAAATATACACTGTATACCAAATGTTCATGAAAACCTGACCATCACACCTACCTGTATGGCCAAACGTACGTGAACCCCCCTCCCAATGATGGAGGTCAGGTGTCCCCAGTGAAGGGTCCTGGTAATCCTCCATCATACAAAGGCATTGTAGACAATTGTGCTCTTCCATCCTTGTGGTAATGGATTGGTGAGGACCCTTTTCTGTTCTCTGTGTACAAAGTCAGCTCCCTAAAGACATCGCTGACCTGTCTGTTGTGGAGGAACTCCAGCTCTGACCTCAACCCTACTGAACACCTTGGGAATGGATTGGAATGCCACTTGCAGCCAGGTCTTTGTGAAAAGCATCCAACATCCGTACCTGATCTCTCAATTGGCACAAATTCCCACAAACACCCTCCAAAACCTTGTGGAAAGCCTTCCCAGAAGAGTGAAGGATGTTGTAGCTGCAATGAGGGAGCCTTGAGCCCTAGAAAATGTGCTGTAATAGTTCTTATGGATCTAAAATGTCCAACATTTGGCCATATAGCCACAAACATTTGGCCATCCAGTAGATTTCTCCTTTCATACCTTCGTTCATGAGTAGGATGCGGCCCAGTGGGTATCTGTTGGGTTTCGAGATATTGAGGTTAACTCAATAAGGTAAACACCTTGGGGATGGATTGGAATGCCACTTGCAGCCGGGTCTTCTCATCCAACATCAGTACCTGGTTGGTTTGGTGAAGACCCTTTTCTGTTCCCCCATGACTGCCTCTTGTGTACAAAGCCAGCTCCATAAAGACATGGACGACCAATTTGGTGTGGAGGAACTCCAGTGTCCTGTACAGAGCCCTGACCTCAACCCTACTGAATACCTTTGGGATGATTTGGAACACTGATGGTAAGCCTGGTCTTCTCATCCAACATCAGTATTGTCCTTGCATTCTCATGACTACAAAAACTCTAGTTGAAATGGTAACTTCAAGAAAGGGTCATCCCAATCCAAACCGATACACTATATGGTCCAAACTATGTGGACACCACTCCAGATTATTGAGTTCAAGCACTGAAGGGTCCCGGTAATCCTCCATCATACAAAGACATTGTAGACAATTGTGCTCTTCCAACCTTGTGGTAACAATTTGGTGAAGACCGTTTTCTGTTCCACCATGACTGTCCTCTGTGTACAAAGCCAACTCCATAAAGACATGGAGGACCAATATGGTGTGGACAAATTCCAGTGTTCTGTACAGAACCCTGACCTCAACCCTACTAAACACCTCTGGGATGAATTGTAACTCCACTTTTGAGGTTGGTCTTTTTTTTGGTTCCCAATGTGAGGCCCAACGTATGAGTCAGATCTTCTCATCTAACATCAGTACCTGACCTCACAATTGCTCTTTTAGCTGAATTAAATGTTGTAGGAAGCCATCCAGAAGAGTGGAGCCAGCTCCATAAAGACATGGATGACCAGTTTGGTGTGGAGGAACTCGAGTGTTCTGTACAAAGCCACTGACCTCAACCTACTGAACACCTTTGGGATGGACTGGAATGCCAAGCGTAAGCAAAGTCTTCCCATCCAACATCAGTATCTGACCTCACAAATGGACACAAATTCCCACAGGCACCCTCCAAAATCTTGTGGGAAGATTTCACAAGAGTGGAGGCTGTTAGGCTGTTATAGCCATAGAAGGGGGATAACTTCAGTGCTATGGAACTTTTTACGAATTCCCCCTATGTTTGACCAGTTTGGTGTGGAGGAACCTGAGTGTCCTGCACAAAGCCCTGACCTCAACTCTACTGAGCACCTTTGGGATGACTTAGATTGCAGATTGTGAGCCAGGTATATATTTTTTTTTCAGTGCACAATGTGAGGCCCAACTTGTGTTAGGTCTTTTTATTCAACACCAGTACCTGACCTCACAAGTGGACGCAACTTCCCACAGACGCCCTCCACGATCTTGTGGGAAGCCTTCCTAGGAGAGTGGAGGCCATTATAGCCATGGAAAGGGGAGAGGGGAATAATTTTGGTGTCATGGACCTTTTTTTTATGAATTCCCCCCTATGTTAGCCATAGAAGGGGGATAACTTCAGTGCTATGGAATTTTTTATGAATTCCCCCTATGTTTGACCAGTTTAGTGTGGAGGAACTCGAGTGTCCTGTACAGAGCCCTGAGCTCATCCCTACTGAACACCTTTGGGATGGCTTAGAATGCACATTGTGAGCCAGGTATTTTTTTTTTTTTCGGTGCACAATGTGAGGCCCAACATGTGTCAGGTCTTCTCATTCAACACCAGTATCTGACCTCACAAATGGACGCAACTTCCCACAGACACCCTCCACAATCTTGTGGGAACCCTTCCCAGGAGAGTGGAGGCAATTATAGCCGTGGAAAGGGGGGGAGGGGGATAATTTTGGTGCCATGGACCTTTTTTTATGAATTTCCCCCTATGTTAGCCATAAAAGGGGGGATAACTTCAGTGCTATGGAATTTTTTACGAATTCCCCCTATGTTTGACCTGTATCAGTATCTGCCCTTAATCCTATGGAACGCATTGGTATGTGGTTTTCTCATCCCAAGGTGTTCAGTAGGTTTGAGGTCATGGAGGAACTCGAGTGTCCTGCACAGAGCCCTAACCTCATCCCTACTGAACACCTTTGGGATGATTTGGAATGCTGCATACAAGCCAGATCTTGTGTTTTTTTTGTTTTTTTTTCCTTGGTTCCCAACGTGGGGCCCAAAATGTGAGCCAGGTCTTCTCATCCAACGTCAGTACCTGACCTCAAAGCTAGTGAACACCTGTGGAAAGAATTGGACGATAATTTCAAGGCTTGGTCTTCGCATCCATAAAGTCCAAAAAAGAAAGCTGCACTTCTTACAGTACTTGACCTTGTACTGATGGGTACTCAAACTAAATGCCATGGATGGTGCCAGGCCAGAACCAAATGGAAAGATCCAAAGGGACCCGCGCTTCAAATGTGTTTTGTGTGTTTATTGTGAGGTCAGCATCACATAAGGCATAAGAATCTGACTTTTCAAGGCCTTACAGGGGCTCTTTCTCAAGGCAGCTTGGTTACTTTGAGAAAGAGAGGCTCCAAAACATCTAGTTCATATGCCTGACATGAAACTGTCTTCACAATAAACATGTGAAACACATCTGTTTGGAGTGCTGGTGACTTCGCATTTGGGTCTTCTCATCCAGCATCCGAATGTGACCTCACAAATGTTCCTTCAGTTCCATCAGCACAGATTCCTACAGACACGCTCTAAAATTTTGTGGAAAGCCTTCCTGGAAGAGTTGAGGATGTCAGAACTACAAAGGCTGGACAACTGCGAATGAATGGTCATGGTTTTGGAATGGGATGTCCAGCAAGGTGTGATGGTCAGGGTTACGAAGCTTTGGCCATATAGTGTATTTCATGTACATCATTCGGTTTCCTAAAGAAGATGTTATTTATTTTAGACTTTACGTACAATTTTTGTATCATTTTAATGCTGACAATAAAAGCAGGACGTCCCAGAGGAAAGGTACTCCGTATTGATTCCAGCACCATGCATGCAACTTCAGCTTTCTTTCTGCAAATTCCAAAAAATCCATCAATGGGTTGTAAATAGCGGCTGAACGGAGGTATTTTATGAACTGCAGCAGAGGATAGTGCGTTGTCAGTGATGCATGTCCCCAGATGGGCTATCAGATTACCGTTTGAGATAGAGAAGGCTAATCCTATTACTGCTGAGCCTCATAAATCCCGAGCCTCAGAGGTGGGGCGGATCAGACAATTGCCAGAGGAGAACGCTTGAAGGGGGTGTCCGCTGACCACAAACTCTTCCTGTGGATGGATATGTAAGAGCCATTTGTGCAGGGTAAGTAAGCAGAGTGCTCAACTTTGCAACCTGAAGCTGCCCGTTTTACCGCCGGTTGTCAGATATTGCAGGATACAGCACAAGTTTTTAATGGGCCGTCGGCCATCTTCAACTGCCAAAAAGTGCTCTCTAAAGTTGGCCTCACACGAGGCAATTTTCACATGATTTAAATCTCCGGGAATCGCAAATACGCTGGTCAGAGATTATGCAATCTACCACCTATCAGCTTGATCGACCACAGAAGTTAGTCTATTGTGAAGCTGAAAGCGGGCGATAAATTGATTGCTTCAATACACTCTATTGTTAGATCAATCCACAAATGGAACAAAACGCTGAAAGCGATCAGTTTTGTGCCGGGCTTGATAGGGACCATCTAGATTCCCACCATTTTATGCCTTCATCCCTTTATGACTTTGAAGAACAATGTCACATGTAAGGGCAACTCAAGGTCTTG